ATTACAAAAATATCGACAAGATAAGCAAGTTCTAAATTTGATTGCATCAGCTCATTTCGGAATTCATCTTTCCCTTGAGCCTGGAGAAATAAATCCAACTCCTCTCTCAACTGAAAAACTCTGTTGAGTACGTTCCCTGATGACAACCACTGTACAGAAGTATAGAATAGCAACACATCAAAGTCGGAACCCATGTCCTGGCAAAATCTTTTGAACAGCCTGATGTTCAGAGCCGATGATTTGATGTGATTCACCACTTTCACCAACCCTTTGAAAACGGCATTCAATTGATCAGGCAATGTTTTTGATGCCAAAGCTTCCCTATGAACGAAGCAATGAACTCTGGTTACCATTGGAGCACGCTGTTTCACCAGTGTTTGGAAGCCCGATCTTGAGCCCAGTATGGCAGGTGCACCATCAGTGGTGACACCCACAAGATTTACCCAATCCAGACCATGTACTTCAAAGAAATTGTTAACAATTTCCATCATATTCTGAGCCTTTGTGGTGGTATCAAGAGTCTTACAAAAAAGAAACTCGTCTTTGAAGTCTCCCTCAACCATGTATCGTGCGAACACCAATAGCTGAGAGCACCATGCAGCATCAGTTGATTCATCCATTGTATGGCAAACAATGGAGACTTCTTTATTTCATCCACAACTTATTCACTGATGTTCTATGATACCTCATTTCTCCATCTCAATACTGTGTCGGTAGAGGCAGATCTATCATTCAGCTTTCTTGCTGCTTCCTTGCCAAGAACAAGCCACACCATCTCTTTTGGACAGGGGAGCACAAGTTGCTCTACAACAGTATGAGGCTTCTTGGCCTGTGCAACTTTGTATGCAACAATGTAGGAAGCACGCACGGCATTGCTTGTCTTATTGTAGAATGCACTTGTTGAGTCGAGGCGCTGCCATTTCAGACCTTATAACCACAGCTCAAAATAATCTTCACCCTTTTGCAACAAGTTGGGGTGACACTTTTTGAGATGGAGTTTCAGCTTAGCTGGCTTCATTGAATCATTCCCCAAGACTTTGAAACAAATAACATACTGTAGCAAATCCACGCATTCTTTTTTTGACAAGAAATTTGATGTAGTCCTCCGAATACTTGTGCTTGACATTTCTTCCTGTCATTGCCATTATAAACAAACTACACCACACCTGTAAAATAGCACATGTAGCACACGTTGAATGACACAGCAACTGCTCAGCATGATGGCGGCAGCTACACTGACGCTCAGAGCCTCAGATGGAAGTTACTGGCAACACAATGCGGTTGCATCCTAGCTGACGCTATGGATGATGCACTGCATGCTTGTGAACACGGCGTAAAACAGCCTAACAGCGGCGCCTGCTCATGCCGTGTGACTTTGGACAATGTTCCTGTGGACCACCAAAAAAGTCACCATGGACCACAAGTTGAGAACCACAGCATTAGAATCATGAATTCTTCCCCTTCCACTTTCAAATTCTCAACCAGCTCCTTCCTATTTGTTAAAATCAAATCTAGAACCGTTTCCCCCCAGTATCTTTGTCAACCTTATGAATTAAAAAATTGTCTCCAATGCAGTCCAAGAACTTATTGGATAATCTGTGCCCCACTGTGTTAGTTTCCCAACATATTCCCTAATCAGCGCAGAGTAGAAAGTCGTTCTTTCACTCTACTTTTCACTGATTAGGCCTCAAGTGGAGTATTGTATCCACTTCTGGGCACCACATTTCAAGAAGGATGTGGAGAAATTGGAGAAGGTCCAGAGAAGAACATCAAGAATGATTCAAGGTCTAGAGAACATGGGCTATAAGTGAAGACTGAAAGAATTAGCCTTGTTCAGTTTAGAGAAGAGAAGACTGAGAGGGGACATGATAGCAGTTTTCAAATATCTAAAAGGGTGTCACAAGGAGGAAGGAGAAGCATTATTGTCCTTGGCCTCTGAGGATAGGACAAGAAACAATGGGCTGAAACTGCAGCAAGAGAAGTTTAGGTTGGACACAAGGAAAAACTTCTTAACTGTCAGGGTGGTTAAACACTGGAATAAGTTGCCTAGGGAGGTTGTGGAATCTCCACTGGAGATATTTAATATCAGGTTAGACAAACATCTATCAGGGATTAGCAAGATGGTGCTTGGTCCTGCTGTGAGGGCAGGGGAATGGACTTGATGACCTCTCAACGTCCCTTCCAGTTCTGTGATTCTATGGTACCATGAAATTATATAATGGTGATAATGTATTATCTCTCTTTATTCTCTTTTCTCTCTTTTGAGTGGGAACATTTTTCCTTCCCTGAGATTTTCACTCTCCTCAACATCACAGAGACTGTGTGACCAGGGAACGGGTTCTACTGTGTCCTGGAAAGTCTCATGTATGTACCTCTCTGCCTTCTTAGCTCCTCCAATTCAGCCACAATGGTCTCCAAAGCCCATAAAAGATCCTTGAGGGCCAGGAACTCCTTGAAACTGTATATAGGCCATATGATCATACATGTTATTTTGGGAGCAATGAATAGGATAGCTTCCATTCTTGGCTTCTTCCTGTATTCTCTTTTTCATTCCT